GTGTGTGTGTAATAAAAGTAATGCAAAAACGTTTGTCTTGCAAGTTGAGTTGTCAATGTTAAAAAAATGCTAAGATGATAGTGGATGAGACCACCTGATTCAGTTTGAAAGCTTAGCTGCCGAATAGTTGTATCGAAAAGTCTTCCCTATCCGTTGAATCGATCGAAAATGCCAATCATGCGTATGAGTTCCTTCAAGCCTTGTAAAACTAGGCGTTGGTTGATTCGGCCTGCTAAAGCCCGGATTTTCGTTGAACGTGTTTCTCATGCCGATGGGGTGATTTGCATAGTTGATAAGCTTGGCACGTCCGCAGTGAATGACAAATTTCGCGGCTAGCTCGGTGATTCGAATTTCGCGCCGCTAATGTTAATTTCACTATCCTCGTCACGCTAAGGAATTCTTCGCTCTCTTTTGCAATCCTCCAACATGTGTGTGTATGTGATGGATTGAACTGCTTAGGGAGAACAGAGCGAGTGGAAGAACGAACTGAACAACCCGCTTTCGGACGTAATTCAAGCTAAGTGATCAAAGCTACTAAAGCTGCTCTTTGTCTGCAGTACTTTATGTCTTCTAGAGGCACATATACTCATTTCAGTCCAGTTTGTACAACCATTAATCATGCACTATCGTCCACCGGTTTTGATTGCTGTCCTTTGGCTACCCATTTCCATAAACGTTAGGAGCAAGACAAGAAGTGCTGAAAGACGGATCAAAGAGAAAATTTAGAATTCCAGTGGAGTAATGTTGCAGAGATATTGAGAAGATGCACGAACACCATTGTTTACAACACTTAACCGTATCACTGAATGTCTCTAACCATCGGTTACGATCATCCACAAAAAGTAACGGGACCTATGTGACCCAGACTCCTAGCAAGGGTTTTCATATCCTCAGGCCATGTTTTAGCTTGACCATCCTTGGCTTTTTTCCAATCACTACCTGCGTACAAGTCCCACAATGCTTCAGCTGTCAGGTATTTGTCCAAGCTTAACAAAGCTAAAGTGAATAGATTTGGCGCATTATTCACTCATCGAATTCTGAGGACTGGAAACAGCAAACACCTGTAGCAAGGTATAAGAGTTTTCTGTGAAAGGAAGAAAGTACGGTTGAAGCTGGATGTGGACGCGAATGATCTCAATGCTGCATTCC